AAGCTCACGACGTTGTCCGCTGTAACAACCGTGGTATAACACTATTACTCGGCGGAAGCGACAGCGGTACAAGCTCAGCCAAGGCAACAGTGGTACAAGGTTGGTCAAGGCGACATCGGCGGGATCCCACGACTCGTGTATTTAACGAATATTTGGTATTCTTGGATACTCGTCAAATACACGAGTCATATAGTAACGGATACATATTAAAAAACATAATATATTATTTTATTTTATTTTTACGCGTTTTGTTATTTTGATTTATAAATTGAATACATATTTTAGTTTGTATAATATACCAAGCATATTTTAACATTTCTACTTTCAAGATTTTACTTTTTATTTTAGTTTACTCAGCTGCAGTATAGAATTAAAAATAATATATTACTCATCTGTAGGTAATTTATGACTCAATGCGCAGTAGTATGACTGTTTTTTCATACATCAACACAATAATATTAATACACATAATTGCAGACGTTGTACGTATTTTCTCATCAATAGAAAATCGAATTAAAACTTGAAGATAAACTGTGTTTACATTTATAATCTACCACGTTCGACATGAATAATATTATACAACAATATCAACAACTACTATAATTACGTCGAAAGAATACATTTCTTTCAACAATTAAAACGTCGACAAGCCGTGGAGATTAGTGTGCGTCACTACAGGCCTGTATTTATGGTCCATTCAAAAATAGGTGGGAGGTGCATTTTATTTTCTATTCGGCTTAACGAAGGCAAAAAAATCGGGTGACCCCCAGTCTTACTATAGATCCAGTATTATCACCAGGTAAATATTTATCAACACGTGTTTATAATATAAACTCGGCTGGTACTGGTGTGGTGGGACGTCACAACGCCTTTAAATATTAATATTATGCCTATTTGCAGCAGAACAGTCATCGACAAACGGGATATGTATCTAATATATTTATCATTATATTATATACTAATAGGTAGTAGGTAGTTATACACCGTTAAAAATAGAAAATGTAACGTTCTCTACGTTCTCTCAAGTCTCGAGTTTTATCTTTTCATTTGGCTTGCTAAATTCATTTGAAAACAAAACATTTTCATAGAATTTGAAGAAAGTAGGTACCAACGTACCATACGTTATACAGTTTACGTACTATCACACTGCAGATACAAATATGTAGTAACTACTTTAACGAGAAAAATCATCACAAAGTTTTAAAATTTTTTTTCGTTTAGGCTTTTATTATATACAATGATCCTTATGTTCTTTATGTATATGATTTACCTAACACACGCATATACTATTGTTTAAAAAATTAAAACACTAATCTAAAACTAAATTTTTCTTTGGGCATCACTGCAAGTTTGCCTTTATAATATAACTGTTATTAATTATGGTGGCTTGGGACACAATATCACTTTCATATACATCCTATACGGCTATACAACATTATAATACAAAAATATCTTTTAAGATTAAAATGTACAGTAATATATACCATAATCTTAAAACCAAAATATTTTACAAAGTAGTTTAGCTATGCGATTTAAACAAAGTAAAAAGATGATATTTGTAATAATATTGTAAAGTAGTGTAGAAACATTATTCCAAGCTATAGGATTTAAGTTATAAGTTTAAATATTTCACCTTTATTCGTTATAGTCTTATAGGTATAATAATATTATTATAAAAATTATATAGTATACCACAATAGTCCAGTGGCGTAATTACGGGAGGGGATTTGGGTGTCGTATCCCCCCCTTGACCATTTTTTTTTTTTTTTTTTAATCGTCAAACACATTTATGTACTAATTTTATTAATATATATTTCATAGATAATACAAAAATCACCCGAATCTCCATAATATTATACAAATATATAATCATCCATCAATATTATCATATACAGTGTGATCACGATTTTAGGTACCACTGAATATCACAGATGGATGACTTTGTATTGAAATGGGGTTTTCGGGAGGTGATAGGGAGCACTTAAATACATATTTTCAGACCAGTTTCAAATTTTTAGCTCACTCGGTACGCGCATGCCGCATGCGCAATATTACTTTTTTTTAAATGGCAACCCCAGTTTTTTCTGCAGATTCAGGTAGAGTATTTATTTTTGAACATTTATTGAACATATATGCATAATTCATGTTTAATGATATTTTCATTTATAACCAGTTGAAATAATAAAATAAGAGCCAAATAAATGTTTAATGGCGGACGGAAATCGGCCACAACCGACGCCTTAGTCCACTCAGCCACCCTCCCCCCCCTAATCAAACATTTATTTGGCACTTATTTTATTATTTCAACTGGTTATAAATGCAAATTGCATTAAACACGTATTATGAATAAATCCAAAATTTGACTTTCTCTAACTTGGTAAGTTTTATAAATAGAAAAACTTTCAATACAAAAAATGTTTAAAAAAAAATACTCTACCCGAATCTGTAGAAAAAAAGTGGGGTTGCCATTTAACAAAAAGTAAGTCCAATTGCGCATGCGCATACCGAGTGAGCTAAAAATTTTAAACTGGTCTGAAAATATGTATTTAAGTGCTTCCTATCGGCTATCACCTCCCGAAAACCCCATTTCAATACAAAGTCAGCCATCTGAGATATTCAGTGGTACCTAAAATCGTGATCACACTGTATATACAATATTAGTTATTACTAGGGGCCGGAATTATATTCTTTTAAAATAGCCAAAATAAGATGCTAATATTCTCTTAAAAAGTTGAAAATATTCTTCCAATATTCTTTAAAAATAATGATAAAATATGCAAAAAAAAATGCTTTTTTATTAAAATATTCTCTTGAACTAAAAATATGCATTTAAATGCAAAATAATTAAGCAAATAATACGAACTCATATAAATAAATAGGTACATAATATGCAAAATAATATAAAAACCTGATATAAATAGGTACCTACATAATAAAAAATACTACTTGTTAAGAAAAGTTTGATTTAATATTTAATTATTTTAAATTTTTAACTAAGAAAATTTTTGAAAACAGTTGACAACTATATTTTGTTCCATGTTCCCTGATGTCATATTTGTACAACGGTCGGTTAAAATGTTTTTATATGTGCTATTTATATTATTTAGGCCATTGCAACAAAAAAATATCGAACATCTACAAAAATTAATCGATATATTCTCTAATATTTTTTATTATACGAAATATTCTTTTATCTTGAAATATTCCCAAATATGCAAAATAAACTTTTGCCATTAACTCACCTGTTTCATGATTTGTAAAGATTTCGAACCCCCGTCTGACTGCATAGACTCAAAAAAAATATGCAAAAGAATATAATTCCGGCTACTAGTTATTACATACAGATCATAATGGTTGTATTCTTGTATTGAGGGATGCTTATTGCTTATAGCTTATGCCTTATACGATTAAAAAAAAAATGTTGAGGGGGGGGGGTGATTGGTGAAATGTACATACATTTCATCCCCCCCCACAACCATGACCAAATTACGCCACTGCAATAGTCACACCTAAATTACACTATAATATATTCGTTCATTCTCCAAAACGTAGACTCGTAGGTATTACCCAAGGATAGGAAATTAATATTAAGGCACAACAAAACAATATATAAATTAAAATAATCTACTCGTGTAAACTTGTGAACTTTTATTATATCGTTGAAATATATACATTTACAAAATAAATTGTTACAGATATAATATTTTATAATGATAGTAGTCTTAAAAATATGTAGGAGTTTAACGAATGACACACGACGAGTATATGTTTTCTACAGGTCCGTTTGTAGAAATAGCTGATTAGCATAATATTACAACATATTTATTACTACAACATTCGTATAATTTACCTAATAAATATAAAATATTAGATTTTTTTTAAACATAATTTTCACTTTTATAAAACGTTAACGAGTGTATAAAACCTAACGCAGTAAAAAAGTATAAAAAGTAAGATTGTTGTTATAACAAAACGAAGTAAAATTACAATACATGATGCTGTCGGTAGGTATGATTGAAAAATTCTATTTTTATGAGAAAAAAACGAAAATCACTTAAACGAAACGTTTTTCACGCGTTACCTACCGATATATCTAATTACAAAAAAAATTCCATAACTCGTGTGTGCTCGTTGAAATACTAATGAAATAATATTAAGAAAAAAAAAACCATTTGAATTTTTTTTTTTACAAAATAATGATATAATGAATATTATTAATAATAATAAAACAATATATACCTATATAATAATAATATGATATTTACTTGGTGATTAAAAATATGTAGAGTTCTAAAATCGATACCTAGTATAGGTATTTGTACTATAAAACAGTCTGGCCTATAATAAAAAATATAATATATAAATATAATATAGTTGTATTTTGTGATGTACTGATGTATATAATATAATGTAATGGTGTTATCATAATTTTTTTCATTTTTCCATTTTATTTCGAAGATAATAATATTATAGTAGTGTGGGATATCGTTTAATATGTGAGTGTGCATTGAATAATAGTGCAAGTGTATAATTACTAATGATATAATATAGTATGAACGTCGACGGTTACGGTAATAATAGTAAGTAAGGATATTATATCGAGTTTTTTTTTAGAGATTTTCACGTAAGACTATATAGGCATATCCTGTAGTATATTATAATATATATGTATAAAGTATAATTGTAATGGACGAAAAAATAGTAACTAATAATAATTATGAAAAAATAAAAATAGTTAGTTGTCAAGTATGACATACATATTTAAAAAGCCACTGGCGTGTCGTCGTCCGGACGGTCAACACTGGGAATTAAGATAATAATATGAGAAAAAAAAAGAATCAAAATAATAAGATGTATAGAAAAAAAAAAAAAAAACCGAGTTGGTAAGTTCACGTCGAGCTTCCGATTCGATCCCGGACAGAGATCACATCGGAAGCACGAGGCGGGCCCCCTCCCGGCACTCGTCATCACCATCCGTCACCATCAAAAAAACATGAGAGTCACTGCAACCCGTCGGCAGCAGAGTCGTGCGACGCTATGACCGAGGTCGGATACCAGTGCAAGTGCACTTGCGGCGGCAGCGGCACGGATTGATGCTGCCCGTTGACGGTTTCCTCGTACGTGGGCGGGTGAGACGGCATCGTGCAAGCGTTTCCGTTGTACATGTTTGGCCCGTACGGCGAATAGTGGTGGTGCATCGTGGTCGACGGTCCTGGACGCTGATGTTCGGCGAGCTGATGGCGTTGGTGATGGACCTGGACGCCCGGCGGTGACGGTGTCGAGTACGTGCTCGACGGACTGTACTTCATCGCCATGTTTGCGGTCGGCGGTGAGCAGCCGTTGCTGGCGTAATGATCTGCGCCGTAACCGCCGCCGCAGCCGACCACGGTTACCGGCACCACCGGCGGGGGCGGAGGGCCGTTAATCGCAGCCAAGGCCGCCGGCGTCATGGCTGTCACGCTGCCGCTGGTAGATTCCACTTGGCCTGCGGGAGAGTGATAATATTATATTATTATTAAACCACAAAATATATCCTAGAGTATATGGGTATAGACTATAGAGTGAGCAGGTCGGGACTCGATGAGTTATGTTAAGCGACGTTATTGGCGTGTCGGCCATAGATATTATAAGAATGGATAAGACACGCCTATACTCGCTTCGTAAGAGGTTGGGGTCTTTTTTGGGGAAGAGAGAAAGTTCAATATCTAAGAGAGAGGTAGACTATAAGAGTGCTTTTTGAGGTAAGGTTACAAAATTATAATATTATGAATAATGATTATTAAATAACATATTATTCATGATTTTATTATTTGTTTTTGTTTTTTTAAATCGTGTTAACATATTGTATCAATAATTAAGGAACTCTTATAACGTCAACAATTGTGTTACTTTATTCTCAGTTGATAAGCCCGATGTCCTAACCAGTCTTATAATATCTATGGTCCAAGTCAGAGGGTCCGACACTATACGACAAAAATATACAACGAATCGTATATTATTATGCACCTGACGCGATCATTAGAATTATTAGGTTTGCCGGACGTCCCGGTTATTAGAAAATAACTTTGAATTGTATTATATTTTGATAAAACAAAAACCTAATAATAGTGCGAAGAGTAACACTAATAATTTTGTACTATACAACTCTACAACGCCCGTGCATTATTATTGAAAGTACCTAATATTATTATTAAGTAGGTACATATTTCATCTAATCGGCACAACAAATTATTATCTTTTATCGTTTTCTATCTCTATTATACATAACAGTTTGTGTTACAACACTTATCGTTAAAAATAACACTAATAATATTGTATCATTGCATCAATGTATCGATCATAGGCGTATTTACGTGTCTGATTACTGTGGCGATGGCCAGACAGCCACCCAGACCAACGAATTTTAATGAACTAAGACTAATTTTTTGATTCTTTTTCTTATTAGAAAAAATGTAATTCATCTTGGACTAAAAAAATTGTTAGACCCCTCCCCCCTTTCATTTAAAGGTGGTTTTTCACATAACTTTAGGTATATTTTAAAAACGCTAGCACTGGTCACATGACCCTGGGGCACATCGCACATTGTATAGTCTTGTATTTAAACAAATATTTTGCGAACGGAAAACCGGAAATAAGTGATATAATAATAATATCATTGTATTATTATTTCATATTATGCGAGTTTGATAATATATTATTATATTATCCATCTTGGTTATACGGGAAGGCCGCACATGCAATACGATGTATGCCGTCGTTATAATTAGAGGTACACAGTGACGATAGCCGTCACGCGGGCAGATCTTCTCAGAATTCGATCGCATATTTAGCTCGCAACCAGACTTATTTCTATACCCGTACAGGAAATGTAGAAAACACGTCCGAGTAGATATTATTGTTTATTATTATAATGCATGAAAAAATATGTGACGATCGACGCGTTTATGATGACATGGTTATTTGAAAATATAATAAGTGGACAACATTGGGTCTCGGCTTCAGAGGCGGGGACGCAATTCAGTATTCGCTCCTAAAAAGTGTAAACCGCGGTATTTTTGAAGCAACCCGTAGACAATTTTGGGTAATGAGCAAGGTAAATGACTAATCGGGTGCTTCATAATCCGAAATTAATTACGAATTTTACCAGGTTAGCTTTCCCCACCGACCCCTCCCCCCCAAAGTGGTTGTATAACAAAACCCTTACCGGAATCTCTCTTGGACTTCTTCTCTTTCATGCGCCTGTTTTGAAACCAAATCTTGATCTGTCTTTCTGTCAGCCGCAGCGTCCGAGCCAGATCGATGCGCCTAGCCCTGTTCAAGTACTGGTTGGCCGTGAACGACTCCTCGAGGTGCATCAGTTGTTCGCTCGAGTAAGCGGTCCTCTGGCGCTTCTGCTTCTCCCGCTTGCGCTGCACGCTTACCGCTGCGGTCTGCATCTCATCGCTGGCGTGCAACACCGGACAGTGTTGCTGTGGCATTACGTGTTGTTGTGGGTGCAGAAGAGGCAACAGCGGAGCAGTGTTTCGGATGTCTGTCGAAAGAGTTGAATGTTATTATACAATAATTATTATAAATTGTTACAATATTATTATACACGAATGCGGAGAACTCGAAATACAAATTATACCATTATGGAATTGGGGACGATTGCAAATTCAAAAATTATAGGTACTAAACGTAATGTGTTTTTATCATAACATATAATATATTAAGCATATTAATGTCTGGTTTATTGTACTCAGACGCTGAAAGTCTATAATATTGTCTTAAACAAAAACGTGTAGAATAGTTTGGTAATTAGTCATTATTTATTTTGTATGGTAATCTCAAATGTATAATATTAATTCAAATTGTTCACAAGAAAACGACGTATGACATAAACCGTGACTTTAAAATAAAAAAAAATCAGTCTCTAAACACCATAAAATGTGCACTGTAGTTTTCAATTTTTCATTTAGAACGTATCGTTATAGCTTACTTATTATGAAAAAACAGTTAACGGTCTATCAGAAAAACTGGCGAAAGTATCAGATCTAACATTATATTATTGCACATGATTTTAACAAGATATATTTTTCGAATACGGAGTGCCCATTCCCTTCGCATACTCACATATTGGTAGTGTAATAAATAATAATACTACGAAATCAAAATGTCGGACTGCGCCGGACAGAAACAAATGTGAGCATTTGATATTATGAAGTAACACTAGTTTTTTGCACTATTATTAAAATAAAAACGCAAATCCAATAGTATTCTCGGAGTGTATCTATATATGTATAATAGAAACGAAAACTGCGGGCCTCGTGTGTACGGACGAATTCGAGCCGCCCGACTTGTTGACAACCATATTGTTGGTATTGTATAATTATAATATTATTATAGGTGCAACCGCTCGTTATTATTTTTAATATATAAATATTAAACAAAGCGACTCAATGCAATTCGCAGGTATTTATAAACCATATTATGTTATTTCGGTCCCGTACTTAGGATTCAATTTACTAGTAGGTAAATGCCGGTCATTGACCGCGAATCGTACACGTAAGAAAGTGTTTTTGAAGTTATAAAATAAAATCATATTTATAGTATAAGTGTTCGGTAATATTATTCGAAATAATAGAAATACTACAATTTCTCGAAAACAAGTATGCGGAAATGGAATTAAAATAAAACCGCCTCCGGTTTGAAATGGGCTAGGCACGAGAATATTGTATTTATGTCTGGAGAAATCGGTCGATAATGGCTGTCGTTTAACGTTCGTATTAAATGTGAACGACGACAATGGCTATAATATTATAATAATTGTATGTATATTGTAAGTGCGACAAAACGAAAAGTACTAAGTAGCATTGTACGCCATTACGACCGGAAACAGACTCGTCACGGCCTTTAAACGATTTGTATTTCGTGCGAGTTACCTTACGGCACGCGGATGGTATAATATAAAACATGAAAAAAGGAACTCCCGAAAAGGTCACGAGATAAAATAATAATATGTGATCGACATTTCGCGATGATGTCAACCTGCATCACGACAAAATGTAGGTATACCTAAACTACCACGTTTGAACTGACGTTTAGTCGGGACTTGGGTTGAACTTGGGTTTCGCGGTGGCGGAAAAAATGGATACTTAGCGTGGTGTCGGGTAGGTCGAAAGTTACACAACAACAACACTTACCGTCGTACGGCGGCAGCGATGCGAACGTTTGCGTGTAGCCGTTGTACGGGTCGTACGCGGAGCTGCTGCTGCAGTAGTTATTGTAACCAGCGATCATCATGGTGTCGTATCCGTTGACGGCCGACGAGGATAATTGGGTCGCGTGCATGTCCACGCCGTCTAGGCGGTCGTCGCGGTCGTGTAAGTGGCGGACGTCGCCGGCGGCGGGCTGAACGTGCTGGCGGCGGTGCTGCTGATGACGGTAGTCGGCGACCGGCGGAAAGCTTGACGGAGTACTGCGGTTGCTGCTGCTGCTGCTGCTGCTGTTGTGGTTGCTCGACACGATCACGGTGACCGACGACGCGGCTGAGGTGGCGGTGGCGGCGGGCTCCAAACCTGGATAAGCAGACACGAAATCCCGTTTAAATTTAGAGCGATTTTTATCTCGAAAATTCACGTGCGCGAGTTATATTATATTTTATTATCAACATTATCCGTTATCATAGTCATTATTGCCGATAGAAATGATCGTATGCCAATTATTATTATGGCCGTACAGGTATGACGACGATAGTGATTATAATATGTTGTTATTATTATTACTGTTATTACTTATTAATATTTTGATCGCGACGCCAATCACGTATGCCCAGAGAGGGAGGGGGGTCACACGACATCGTCGATTACGCGTGTAGGGGGAGGGAGTTCGCGAACGTGTCGATACGTACCTACCCTGGCATCGACGGTGTAGTTGAGTTCTCACTGTACAAAGAGACGAGTATTTAAGGGGCACGGGGGGTTGGGGGGAGGGGGGATTGTTAAAGGGTTATATTTTTTTAATTTCTAATTTCTAATAATAAATAATAATATTAATATAATCATTAAATCCGAATATATATTCTAATCGTTAGAAATTGGCCTTTACTACTATCCAAGTGATGAGGATTTATTGATAGTTATTAACTATTGAAATTTCGTTGATAAGTAATTGTATAATTTCTTTGGTGAATTTGCTTCACCAGCTTAACTGTGTAACGTATATCAAATTAATTTTTGTCACCCAAAAATTCACATTTACGAAGAAGGGGATGGCGAAAAAATGGCACTGTGGCGAGAAAGTTCTGAAAATATAACTAATATTATCTATTTACCGCCCCCAAAAGTAAGAAATATGTTCAAGGAGATTTTTTAAGCGCGTCGATGTCACGAGAAAAAACAGTGACTAAGTATTAGCGTTATGGAACAACAATAATATTATAAACATCTAGGAGTTCCACCTTTGCCCCTGGGTAATTGTTTTTCTATCCACTAGTATTTATTTTTTAGGTCAATATCGTTCTATAATCGCAAAAATAAGTTACTTATACTGTAGGTATTTAGTGAATGAAAATCAAAAATAATATTGCCGAAAAAATTAAAAATCAACCTGCCAGTACATACAATACTTATTAAAAATTATACTTTTTAATAAGAAATGTCCACCCTAACAACTGCCTATTTTTCCTTATGCTAAATTCGTCACTGATTATTGATTATAAATTATAATAAAATAACTATTTATTGTTTGATTATCAAACACGTCGATTAAGATCAGTTACATTGGCTATTTGAATACTCCACCCAGTTACCCGAGTATAAGTGCTTAAATTGTTTGTAAAAAAAATTCTCCAAAATGAACTATACGATCCATTTACAATAGTTGTAATATTACACGAATAATAAATTGCGATATGCTTACAGTCTTGTTGATTGCGGTCCAAGTCCAACAGTGCACCGAAATTCATGTCCATGGTCGTATGTGTATTGCAGCTGATATTGTTGCCTTTATAATAAGAATAGTCGAAGTCTAGTGTGCAGATGTCTTAGGTTCGGAGGTCCGGCTGGAGCGATGGAGTCTTAGCGTCGGCTGCGTGTCCTGTAGACTGACGAGTGACGATGTCGCGGTGTCCACGCGCTACTCGAGGACCGAAGCGACGCGGCACCGGACAGCGTTCGTTGGGGGGGGGAGGACTACCGCCGCCGACCGTTTCTATTGGTCGTTCGCCGATATAGGTAGTACACGTCCGTCCTGTTTCATATACCTGTACATATTATTCGCACGATATATTCATAACTCGAGCAAATTCTGTGGTGGTTGTGGTGGGGATTTATTGATACCAAAAGACTTACCATGTAAAATCACGTTGGCCGTTTACACCACTTTTAATAATAATTATATTTCTTAAGTTAGTTGAGGATACGCACATTGATGTAGGTACTGTACACAATTTGATGATTCGATTGTCCACATCGGTATTATTTTTTTTTGTTCAGTAAATATTTTAATTGTCAACCAACATATTTTTAGTTTCAAAACTATAGTAGTTATCGTCAAACAGACATCTACCATTTTCGTAATATGTAAACGTTTATCCTAACATTAAAACAAAAACCTGAACCACCACAATATGCAAAAAGGAAAATTAATTTAAATTTTTAACACATTTTATCTTTTCGGATCTGACATAAAATTATATGGTAAAATAATGTATAATATTTTGTTTGAAAGTAAACACTTTCACTTTTTAACTGTTGCAATATAAGCAGGGTTACCTTTTTCTTCTTCTAAAATTGACTCGAGTCTAACTTTATAAATAGAACCATGTACTATAGTTAATTAAAGAAATAGAAACGAAAAATACAAGCATTCGGGAATTATTGTAAACACGTAAAAAATATACAATTTGTAGATATAAGTGCATCCGTAGTGCCGTAGTGATTGGAACGTACACTCGCATTTTTAAGAGCAATCGCTAGTGGGTGAGGGCACTGGGCGAGTGGTGCAGTTGATATACACCTATTAATGGTTTGGTAAAATATATATCACGTTTAAGTTGTCGTTTATAAAATAATCAATTGTGCATAACGATATTTCGAATATTTTCTTCTCAAGCCGTAACTTTCGGCACGTTACATCGGTAACGGGTTATTTCGTTCGCTCTATAGGACTGGCGCTCGTGTGACGTCTGTCGCTTACCACCGTTAAAGTTTTCGGTTTTCGTTTCGCACCCCACCGCCGAATGTGCATTTCCAGCCGGCGTCAAGACGATATTATGATATAATATATTTTATTTATGATATTATAGTCATCGTTTTGACTTCTGCTGCTTGGAAACATCAAATTATTTGTATCGCGTCGACGATGATGATGTTGATAAACCGTTGGCGTCTTCTCTTCGAGTATAATATTATACCAATATGACGGTATATACACCTATAGGCGAGTGGTCGTGTTAGGTATATGACATATTATTATGTATTGTATATACTTATATAATAGTGATTAATATTATTATTATTTTCAGTTTTGACACGCGACCGTCGCCTCACAGTATCGGACAACGACGCCTGTTTTTTTTTTTTGTTGTTACATTATAATATTAATTTCGTTATCGCGTATATTGTGTTTGTTTTTGTCGGCTTAGCTCCCATGTTTTCGTTGAAAACATCATTCTTCGAAAACCGTATCGGAGACCAGTCTGGGCTGTGTGTGTCGTATGTGTGTGTAACACGGTAGTGCGTGTAAATGATAATCTAACATCATTAACCATCGACCTTGCGTAGCGCACGGACTATATAGTATTACAAGTATATATTATATTATGTAGAGAGGATGGCATCAGTCGGGCGATGAGTCAAGTGTGACAGCGAGCTATAGTATCGTGATTTTGTCGGCGGGGGTGGATGGTAGAAAGGGTGGGTTGGAAGGGGATGGAGGGGAGGTAATACGTATATGTATATGTTGGATGGGAGAGAGAGAACAATGTACATATACGAGAAGTATCGAAAATACACATCGATACGATATGGCTAATGTCACCCTGGGAATGGATATCTTTAGCCTGAGCCAAGGCCGACGATGATGGAGCTGTAAACATTTTATATTATTTTTCGTTTCCATCGATATATTATAATATCACATAATAATAACGAAAATAATAGTACCTAGTATTTTATTATTATTATATATGTATTGTATTGATCGTACAAAACGACTAATTACGTTTTTTTTTCTGGTCGTTTTTAATTTGATTGCGTAAACACAATAAGACGAGAAACGACATAATATTATAACATCACCGTATCAATTAATTAAAATATACAATGTATTTGACTGATTGCACATTGGTCGGTATTGACTGAATCGACGACGAGCAATGTTGAATCGTGGATAAAGTGCTGTGCTCGTGTTATAATGTACAACACGTCACTATGCGTAGTGCATAATAAATTATTATTGTGTATATTTACAGTCACTTATTTAATCGACGTATTACCCGCGTGATACCCGCATGTGTTGTCTCCAAGTGCGTAACATGGCAAATTTTACACTCGGCAGAACACGTGAAGCTCTGTTAATTTAAAAATTAGAGTGAATGGACCTCTTATAAGATTTAAAGATAACATTATTATTTAGGCAATCTCATCGGCTTTTTATTATATTTTAATTTTAAAGTGAGTTATGAGAATTTTAAGGTGTACAAACAATTTACAATTTTAAAACACTCATAACTCACTTTAAAATTAAAATATAATAAAAAGCTCGTGAGTTTGCCTAGATAATAATCTTACCTTTGGGTTTTATAAGAGGTAAATTCGCTCTAATTGTTAAACTAACGGAACTACACGTATTTTACTGAACGTAAAATTGTCCATGTTACGCACTTGTAAGACGTAAACAACACATGCGGGTATCTCATGTCCTCTTTAGATCTTCGTTATGATTTTCAATTAAAAACGTGCAAATCCGTTTTTTTCTTCAGATTTTAAATACGAAATGATAAATGGTCATATGGGAGATGGAGGGGGGCTGGGGAGGGCTTTTTGTTTAATGCTGTTCCAGTGTTACTTATTATAATAATATAAGTCTTATCTGATGAATGGTCTATGGATTCAGATAACATAACATTATTTCTTACAAATATTACATAAGCAACACGAAAGCAACATGTAAACTGCTATAATAACAAATTATAAACGAAGAAGTTCAAATGTTTGTTTCTGATATGTTGCTAGGAATTTCGAATATTTCTATTCGTCATAATAATATTATACATAGTTCCATAACTTTGGACTTTACTCTTTTCTTTTTGAGAGAAACCTTCTAAATAGTTTCAGAGTATAGTAAACAACCATGGTTATAAGCATTTTTGTTAATTGAGTGTGATATTTAAAATATCTGCAAAATAACCATATTGAAGTACAAACATAATATTATAATATTATTATTTCTATACAATATATTTATTTGTGTGTACCTATATAATATAATATATTCTTTACACGATGTTTATAATATATTATCGATAACGCCGTTCATGATTCATAATTATGAGTTATGATAATGATCCAACAAAAACTATTGACAGATTTATTTCAATTCCTTCGAACATTATTTCAAATTTTTTATCAAAACACTACATAATATTATATTGTTTGAAGTAGCTACATATCTATAAATTATACTCTATAAAATATAGGTAATTGAATTAATAATTATTATAATATAGAATAATAATAAAGGGGTAGTGTTTTGTGGGAAAATCTATAGTATCGGAGGGGTTGAAAGTATGTAGGTGAATGGAAAAATGTTGAGGCACGATGACAGCTCGTCTTAAATCTTATCTCTAACCTCTATTTCTCTACACCCCAATTCCGATCATTGCTCTGCAAATGTATAGTAAAATAAAAACTTGTTGGAGTACCTTTATTATAATATTAATATGTTCATGTATAGAATTTAGATTCATGTATCACAGATTCTGAAATCCATACTAATAATATGTTATCACTATGTTGTCACGTTGGTCATGTAGGTTCTTGATCTATGTTTTACTTATCACAACTTTGTTAGAGGTATGTCATTCCGTTGACCCCTTTGCACAACGTCCTAATGACGCGTCCTCCTCGTTTGTATACGCGGTTATTATTATTATTATACACGTAGGTATTAAATTATTATCGGTAGTCGTTACACATAATATATATAGGTACCTACACGTATGCATATTATACCTCGAGTTATCCAATTACGCTTGTTTTACGAAAACGATATTATAATTAGCCGATCGCACGATGCAGTTTAATACTTCGACGAACGACGGCGCCAGGATATGTTATACGAACCACGACGAACGAGAAGGTTGTATATTATATTAAAATAAATTATATTTTTATTATGGACTTTTCGAACTCGGACATCGATTATTATTGCTTTTTGGTATTTGTTAAAATTCGGTCTCCTATATGCAGTCAATACTATACTGCTGGTCGACAGATTCAAAGATGTTCTCGGGAATTTTCAATGGGATTTTTTGTACGGAGGTGGGAACTTAATAGTAATGTTTAAGCAATATAAATAATTACAAAATACATTTATTTATTATTATTTTTTTTTTTTGAGGCATCTTCTGAGGTGGTAACTGGTTATTAGCAGGTGTTATATTATTTACATTGCATTACATTTGCTTACATTAATGCACAATATAATAATATTAAATTATACAGAATGTAATATTACAGTTCATAAGACTATTATAACAGCGTCGGCGGTAGTCGGAACTCAAGTCAAATGTATTCTGATCAGTTTCAGTTCGAAAAGTATAATATAAAACCCAGGTTACAACCGTCACATTGTATAATTTTATATGAATCCTATAGACTTTATCGGGTATATTAACATAGTTCGGCGGATCGACCCCGGCCGCACAGAATAGCCGTGTATATACGTATTATATTTTGTATAAAATGT